AGGTAACTGGGAAAAAGATTAAAATAGATGGTGATTCACCGAATAGCCGTCTAGACAAGGAGGATCCTCTGTCGCCTCTGAAACACCAGAGACGTTCCCTCTGTGGGAAGAGGAGGGATGGAGTCCTTGAGTCCTATGTTGGAGTTATATATCCTGGAATAGACAAAATTGATAAATATATTTTGTAAGATCCACCCACATGCTTGAGCAAATCCCTCTCACGTGACTAATAGATTGTACGGTAGAGAAATTGTCCATCCATAAGAGAATGCATCAGATCAACAAGCCCCTGACAAAATGTCGATGGAGAAAGACTTTATGATCAACTCCAGTCGATTGATGTGCATGAAGATTTGATGTTCGACCATGGTCTTTCTGTCTACCGAATCTTACATATAGCAGCCCAAACGAGAAGGTTGGCATCAGATTCCAAGACAGAAACCAAGAGTGGGACCAAAGATCGCTTGTGGAAAATTTTCGTGTGGATTTTTAATGTGTACATTTTAGCTGATCACTGGCAAAAACACCTCTGGAAGCTGGATTATGAAACATCTTCCTCATGGAAGACCGTGCCTTGTTTAGTAAGAGAAAATTTTCATGTTTTTGTTAAGTTCCTTTATAAAAGCATCTCCAAAGAGCATGCTCTAAGCAGTAGGGCTGAGTTATTTCAATCCTACATCTGCCAATTTAGAATCATTTCTCATCAGAGCTGCTTTTCATCTTTCAGAGGCCAATTTTCAGGAGTGCTGAGTTTCATCTGGCATCCAATGGCATGCCCCAGGATAGGGCATTATCTACAAATACAGTATTAGTGCCAATGCCCATAATGTCAAGCAGTTTATTGTGCTCCACTTGTGTGGATGTCATTTTAAATACCGTTTTGAGGGTAACATCCACTGTGGGACCATATAATAAGTGACCATGGTAAGGTCAAACTCTGTGGTTTGGCTCACCTTCTCTTATAAGGTAGGTCTTGGCATTCTTCTAGGAGGTGGTTATGGACATCCATGTATAGTGGTTTATCAACCATACGTGTAGAACTTTTGATATGTGATCCAGAGGGACCCAGTCCCCATATCATGGAGATCAGATTTTGTGTGGGAAAACATTTGAACTCCCTGGGTATCCAGGATGATGTCTGTGGCTGCCAACCTCTTTGAGTTTTGCTCAGTGGCCATGTGGTGCCCACCCACAAATGTTTCCTGGATATAATGGAAGGTGAGGTTCCAAGCTATCATCCTTGACCAAAGCCAATTCTCAGCTTGTATCTCACCCACTACTGACAAGGAGGGAGGTAATTAAGTCAGCCCCATCCAGGACACCTTCTGACCTTTGGACACTATTTGTATTTTGGCAGGGGCCTTGTCCTTACATTATCTGGTGGGTCTAAATTCACCCTACCAATGTTTGCATTTTTGAAGGCACATGCCGGAACTCTAGAAGAATAATAACTTGGCAATGATGGTTATAACGATCATCTAACTCAGTAAAATATAACAAGATTTACATGTCAGGTGCCTGTTGGCACTTAATTCTAAGGCACCACCTGACTTCTCCCTGCCCCCCCTCAAAAATAATGTATATAAATAAAATTAGTTTGATGAATATATTGACTAGTTGTTAAAGGCAAAAAAGTCTAAAATACATACACTGATATTTGATAACTGCGTATGTATATTTGTATGTGTGTGCATATTTCTGCTTGTATTGTGTTGGAATCTGTGAGTACAGGGAGTGTATATAGCTGTGTAAATGCATGCAAAGTTAAAATTTATGTTAGAAGTGATTATGGTAGAGAGGGGTTTAAAGTTAGAGAGGAGATAAATCAGAGTTAGATTACATGTGGTATTGAAAGAGGTTGTAGAGGAGTACATTGATAGCTTAGTTAAACATAAGATTATGGTAGAGGTTTTTTAGGATGTAAGTGCTAAAATATGGGGCTAAGTAAAAGGTTTGTTTATGTTTTGAGAGTGGTTAATTAAGGGTAGGGGAAAAGGGTTGTTCATGACATGTGGTGTTTGAGAGTTTATTTGCAAAGTACTCATCCTCCCATCTCTTAGACTTTCGGCTGCCTATGACTGATGACAGAGATGGAAAAGTTATACAGTGTGTATCACTTAATGCTGGCCCTGCTCCTCATGCAATACATTTCCTGTGTGAGATGCTGTTAGTGTCCATTCCACTTCCTGTCTAGCCTCACATACAGACACTGACATACATGGGATAGCACAGGGTGTTACACCCTCTATAACTTCTCGTGCAGCTCTGCTATCACGCATAGGAGGCTGGTACTTATCACTGCCTATCAAGCCAAGGCTGCTGGTACTAATCACTCCCCATCAGCTCCAAAAAAAGGCACATTATATGTGTTGAACACAGGCGTTTCCTACAGGACAGACATCTGTAGGCTGGTGCCTACTCTGATTAATGGGAAATCCAGCTTTGTTACCCGTACTAGAAATGTAATTGGCTACACCCAATAGACCCAATAAGATGCCATTACTCCAAACTTATTGACAAACATTTAAAAAAATACTATTCTGATATTTAAAGTTAAAGACATCCAGAAACATAAAAGAATTGTGAATCACATCCACAAACTAAATCTGGGTTTACAATACTAAAAGAAGTAGATTTGACTTATTCCACCATTGACATACTGCAAGCTTAAAGAATATAAGACACCTCTCTGCTTCCTACAGCTACAAAACCATTGAAGTTGCAATCCTTCTTCACAGACAATTTCAATACAATTTCCATTAAAACACTTTCAACTAAGACATAATACTTTACTTGATCTCTTCAAGGACTCAGTAATTCAATTGTTGAATGTATGCCATTAAGTAACTGATATTATATTCTTTCATGAATTACTTGGCAAAATATCTTTCTCAGAGATCCTTAACCTCCTATTTGTTGGGGACTTTGACATAATTATGGACTATTCACCTGAGACATTGACGTGAACCTCCCTTACCCTAATTGACCTGACCATAGGCATCTTGTCTCTCACACAAACACTAAATTTGACACAGTACTGGAGACTGATGACATGGCAAAGAAACGGACATCACCTTCTGTCCTTGATATGCAATAGCTATTCATGAATCAATTTATTTTTCCATTTTTTGATTTTCTTCCATGATGCCAAGAGAACAGCATCCTTCTCCTCTTGACTTGCATAAGGAATTAGTACAACATAAGCCCTACTTGGCTATACAACATGTCCCTTCTCCCAATAAGTTCAAAGCATAAAAAAAAAAAATCTTAGGCACTCACTGTGATAAATTCAAGCAGATTTAATGGACACAGCAACGTTTCGACCTGTACCCAGGTCTTTATCAAGCTAACACCACATCAAAAAGTGAACATTTAAATACACACATAATTAATGTGAAATTACAAAATTGATTTAAACACACGGTCATATAATTAAAACACACAATGATGTAATGAAAAATTAAATCAACTAGTTAATTCAGCTCTCCAGCTCTTTACAAAACATGGCAAAAAGGAGGCAGTACATGCCATATACATAAAACAAAAAAAAGGGATAAATAAAATCCGCAAGGATGTATATAACCCTCCACTCACTGTGCAGAAAATCCCATAATGGGCAAAATAATAACTCCACTAAAAAAGTAATAATAATCAAAAACTAATAATAATCCAGTATCCAGTAAGAAACTCTATCCCGGCGGCCCGATACAGGGGATCAGGGACGGAATGCCTTCGGCCCCCGAGCAAAATTAGAACCTGGGCTCCCTGCAGACCAATAGATATGCTGGTATATATGATGGTGTAGATGTACCGTGTATTTGATTATATGTGCATGTTAAGTGAATGTATGCTTCTGTGAGTATATTCACTGTGAGCCTTGGTGTAAGTGAATATATGTATGTTTTTGTGTGTAGTATCAGGACTAGAGTTGAGCGGACACCTGAGCGGGTTTGGCCGAACTTTGAAAACAAGTCCGGGTTCGGGATCGAACTTGACCCCAAACTTGACCCTGAACCCCATTGAAGTCAATGGGCACCCGAACTTTTGGCCAGAAAAATGCCTCTAAATAACTCCTGGAAAGAGCTGCAAAAGCAAGTAAAATTGGGGTAAGAGTAGGACAAGTGCCCTGCAAACAAATGTGGATAGGGAAATCACTTAAAATAACATAAAAATTAAAAATACAGCTGAGCCATAAAATAGCACTAGATGGAGTATTTGATTTTAGCTTTGGAAGAACATAAATCAAAATCTAAAGCATGGCTGTCAGGAGGATAAACATAATTATCCATTTGAGAGAGGGTTGGAGTGCAGGGTATTCTCTTTCATTGTTCAAACTGAGCTCAGCTCCTGATGCATGGAGAAAAGGCCTTCACAAGTCTCTGCTATTATGTACTTAGTTTATACTAAGTGACCCATAGGTTGAGGAGGCGGTGACCGTGGCGGTGTAAGTGGAAGCAGCGGTGGAGGAGGAGGATGAGGTAGCCAACACTGTTTTTTTTTTTTTGTAATTGTGGTAGCCCACAAAATATTAGGACATACAACAAAAGAAACAGTTGCGGCCTGCGGTGCATTTCTTGCAGTCCTGATGCATGGAGAAATGCTCAACTCCTGATGCATGGAGAAAAGGCCTTTACAAGCCTCTGCTAATGTGTACCTAGTTTATACTAAGTGACCCATAGGTTGAGGAGGCAGTAACCGTGGCGGTGGAGGAGGAGGAGGAGGAGGTAGCCAACACTGTTATTTATGTTTTGTTTGTTTTTAATTGTGGTAGCCCACAAAATATTAGGACATACAACAAAAGAAACATTTGCGGCCTGCGGTGCATTTCTTGCAGTCCTGATGCATGGAGAAAAGCTTAACTCCTGATGCATGGAGAAAAGACCTTCACAAGCCTCTGCTAATGTGTACCTAATTTATACTAAGTGACCCATAGGTTGAGGAGGCGGTAACCGTGGCGGTGGAGGAGGAGGATGAGGTAGCCAACACTGTTTATATATTTTTTTTTTAATTGGGGTAGCCCCCAAAATATTGGGATATATAAAAAAAAGACAACTCTGTTCCGTAGAGTAGCTGTTGACATTATAGTTGCGCAGGAACTTTGTTGACTCTTGAGAACCTCATCCAGTTTCTGCGCCTACCATGGTGACCACGGGTAATGGGGAATCAGGGTTCCATTCCGTACAGGGACCCTGAGAAACGGCTACCACATGCAAGGAAGACAGCAGACGCGCAAATGACCCACTCCCAACACGGGAAGGTAGTGACGACAAATAACAATACAGGACTCTTTAGAGGCCCTGTAATTGTAATGAGTCCACTTGAAATCCTTTAACTCTGATCAATTGGAGGGAAGTCTGGTGCAGAGCCACTGACCCATGCGTGCTGCAGCTGAAATGCCACTATCACCTGGTGCTGCTCGCACAGTCTCATGAGGCAGTGAGCGGGAAGGCCGTAGTTACGCTGCAGCGCAGACAGGCGAGCAGCAGCAGGGTGACAACGACAAACGCGCACAGCCGCTACAGTGAATGTCACATCCTGTTCCAAGTTGCGGATCAGTCTGGTGATGGCTTCTGGTATCAAGTACTCTTTTTACTGAAGCTGTGTCAGGGTCCTGGTATGTGGCCGCACAAACGCTGGTGCTCAACACCAGGGGGAATGCGGTTACCCTGCACCAGACCCTATTAATCCATTCCACACTGTGACTAATAACTTCAACATCGGACATACTGGGTCCCGGTCATCCGACCGCCGTCCAGACAGTGTCTGGGTCCTGGTCACCGGACTGCCCACCTCACTGTGAAACTACAAATGGATCATTAAATCTGGTACGAACCCGAACTTTGCAGTCTATTATGGATCCTTTGATCGCTACATGTTTTACTTGGATAACTGGTAATTCTCGAGCTAATACATGCCGACGAGCGCTAGGGGACGGCTGCTCCACTTTTGCACCCTGCTCCCTCTTATGCTGTGCTGGTGCCTCTGTGAGACCAGCGCCTCTTCCTCCAAACTGCACACATTACTCGCATGACCTTGATTCCATGTGGGGTCTAGGACCTCATCATCTTCCACATCATCTTCCACCCACTCCTCAACCCTGCCCTCCTTGCCGGTATGCACACTGCAGAAAGCCACAGTGGTTGGCACCTGTGTTTTTCCAGCATGTAAAATCTGCAAAGGACATATGGAAATTGTTTTAGAATTGTATCCAGGCAACATTTTTCCCTATAAACTGACCTCTCAGTTTGACTTGGGAGGGTATTGCCCAAGAATTACAATATTGTTGAAGTACCTCTTAGCTATTGATCACTGGTTTGAATATAGCAGCTTGTTATCTGGTAGTTTCTAGTGTTGAAAATATCAATCTGTTTTCTATCACTTAGATCTGTGTAACAAGTGTTGT